ATTGACAACTAAAGTAGGTACATGCCATTTGTCTATGTCATTTCTTTAATTTTTTTACGTGAAATATCTGAGAATCAATGCCGTGCGTAAACTATGCGAATAATATGCGAAATATTTTCTTCGCATATGCAATTTATGATATGTATTAGCGAAAAAATGGCGTATAATCCTAAATTATGCGGATTTTGTTTTGGATGTGCGATTCTTAAATATGCAAGCATATTACGCATAATCATTCATTATACGTAGTTACAGATTTAGATATACGAGTTGTAACCTATGCGAACATTTATTGCATAGTCATAAATTATGCGACGTTCGATTTGGACATGCAATTCTTGAATATGCGAAAAGTTATCGCATATAGCAAGTTTTGCGGTGGATTTGAATATGCGAGTCATAAACTATGCAAAAACATGGCGCATAAGCGTAAAATATGCGACGTTTGATTTGAATTGAAATGTTATCGCATATGATAAATTATGAGGTGGATTTGGATATGCAAGCCGTTAAGTATGCGAAAATATGTCGATTAATCGTAAAATATGCGACGTTTGATTTGGATATGTGAAAAGTTCTCGCATATGCTAAATTATGTGGTGGATTTAGATATGCGATTTTTAAACTATGCGAATATGTGACCTAATAATAAAATATGCGATGTTCGATTTGGATATTCGAAAACAAAATATGCGAAAAGTTCTCGCATATGGTAAATTATGCGGTGAATTTGTATATGAGAGTCGTAAACTATGTGAAAATATGTTGCATAATCACAAAATATGCGAAGTTCAATTTAGATACGCGATTACATAATATGCGTAACTGTTTTGCATTCTTGTTAGCTATGCATCCGATTTGGATATACGAGACGTAAAATATGCGAAAACATGTCGCATAATCGTAAAATGTGTGGATATCAATTTGGATATGAGATAACTACATATGTGAAATAAATTCGAATAACAAAAATTATGCAATTGTGAATATACATTTAATAAATATACGAGTGTGTTTTGGATAATTATTAACTATGCGTCGTATTTGTATATGCATTAGCATATATTCAACAAAATCACGCATAATCATTAATTATGCAGTTAACTTAAATATGCAATTTTTAGATCGCATATAATTTCGTAAGTTGTGAGATAAAAGAAAAAATAAAAAATTGTTAAGACATAGTAAAAAAAAAAAAAGNCAAGTCCAATGTCTGATATACATCCAGTCAAACGAAAAACCAATAAAATAACAAAGGAAAGAAAAATACAGAAAAGTTGACAACTGCAGCTAGAAATATGAAAATAACAGATCATGTTCTGGGTGGGAGGGGTCCCGGCTAGAAAGTCAGCATCACATTGTGGCGGGTGAGCCAAAATGTAGGTCCGGCTACGCAAATCTGAATGAAGGGTATCCCATCTGGTCCATCCGTATGAGGGTGCGGAGGCGGATAGGAATATCGTCAGGGTAAAGAATGCGTCTGTGGGGGGTAGAGGACCCCATGCCAGTGAGGAAGTCAGCTGGCCGGTTCCCCTCGCGGACGATGTGCGAGATCCGGGAGCGAATCAACTGGAGAGTGGCTCTGATGCGCATGAGAGGATGCTGGATCTGTCATGTGCCCTGGTGTCCAGATGATAAAAGAGTGATGACAGCGGCCGTGTCCAACTCTATCCAAATGTGAGGAGATCGAGGCGGCAATCTGCAGACCAATCTGGAGCGCCTGAACCTCTGCGTCATAGCTCGAGGAGGCCCGAAGAGGGGCATGAAACGCGGGAATAAGAGCGCCGCTATGATCCCTAATCAGGCCCCCACCTCCTGCAGCTCCAGTAAGTCGATCAAAGGCTCCATTAGTGTTTAGCTTAACCCAAGGTGACTCGAGTTTCAGCCAAACAACAGCTTTGGGACGTGGATGCTAGACAGGCACCAGCGGAGGTGGTGTAAGGCGATGAGGTGGCGTGCAGCCTGTCCAGTCTCTCTGGGTGAGTCTGCCCAAAGCGGTGAGGAGGGAGAGATGTCGGTCAACCTGCAAAATAATATGGGAAGACAAAAAAGAGTTATCCCTATGCTTTGCGCTATTCCTTTCTGTCCAGGTGGCCTAAAGGATCAGACAATGAATAAGGAAGCTCACGTGTCTAATGTGTGTGCGGTGTCTGAAAAAACTCAGAAGCTCAAAGAATGTATTTGTGGAGGGTAGGGGGATATGAGTGTAACTGGTATAATGCTCCCACACTCTCCTCACAGTCTCGCTCTCTAAAAAAAAGTGGGTAAAGGTCTCTGTCTGAAAATCGCCAGACTCGGCACAACAGTAGCAACGCGAGGGGAAGGAGAACCTCCTCGTCTGCATCACAGTGTCAATCGGTAGGCGGCGCAAAAGGAGGCGCCAAAGGAAAACAGATATGGTAGGGGTAAGAGGTCGGTCCAGATGGCCCCGAAGAGAAGGTTAGGCCAGTCTAGGTCGTAGAGAATGCACCCGAAGATGTAAGCCTCCACCTCATACCGTCCAAACCGTCCTCCGAGATGGGAATCTGCTGGATCTCATCTATCACCTAATCACTAAAGCCCGCTCCAGTACCCAGAATTCTCTCTAGCCTATCCCTATCCCATCTCTCCTCCGTTCACAGGTCCTTCACCTGTAAAAAGGGAAGATGGGTGACCTGTCTAGTGCTCAAAAGAGGACCCTCACCAAATAACCACTCATCCTAAAAGCTAACCTCCCCATCCTCCAGAGACCAAAAACTGTGCTTCTGAGCATGTCTACCCAACATGGTGAGCCGCCTCCACTGCCTGCTATCGCGGGCGGTAACCGTCACCCTACAGGGATGGGCAGCTCCTCCAGGACAGTACTTCCGGCGAAGATACTGAGCCCAAAGTGACTTATCCTCCCTAAATCGCCACCACATTTTGTAAGAAAATGCAGTGACGACATCCGAGAAACGCGGGATCCCGAGACCCCCCTCAGATAAGGGGCGGGAAACAGAGTCCCACTTCACCCAGTGGACCTATCTCCCTCTCCGAGAGCCCTCCCCATGCCCTCAAAAGTAACGGGCCAGAATCTGATCTAGCTCGTGGATAGTAGACTAGTGGGGATCAAGGACCGTAAGGAGGTGAAGCGGCAGGGTGCTGAGGGTGCTCTTAATCAGAGCAACGGCCCCCAAAGGACAGGTGTCTCTGAGACCAACCGGAGATCCGGTCAATCATTCTTTGTCTAACGTCCGAAAAGAGCTCATGCGTGAGGTGGCCCTTGTACAGGGGAGCACCAAGATAAGTGATGGGGAGGTCTCCACGTGCGAAGCCAGTGCGCTCGTGGACCCAATGGTCCCACTGGTCCACAATATGCTGATCAAGGATGAAGGTGCTCTTTTGAACACTGACAAGCTGACCGGATACGGAGCTATAATGCCCCAGGAGGCGCATGAGCTCAGTCAGTCCATTATTATCCGCACGAGTTCAGATAATAATGTCATCCACATAAGATAGGTGTGAGATAGGAGGACCGTACCCACGCGTGCTATAGGTCATCCTCGGGAAGTCTCGAATGAAGCTGTCAAGGCAACAAGACAGGTAATCCGCTGCCAGGACAAAAAGAGAAGGGGATAGAGGATCTCCCTGCCGAAGACCCCGGGTGGAAGGAAAGAAGTCAATAGGGCTACAGTTAAGCAAAACCGAGAACGTGCAGTGCTCCACGCACGTCTCCACAAAACTAATCCAACGTTCAGGGAAGCCCATCCAAAACAGAACCTCCCTGAGGAACGGCCATTCGACCTTGTCATATGCCTTAGCCATATCTAGCTTTAGCACAAGGTTCGGGGCTCGTAACCGGTTCGCATGGGAGATGTCCTGGATCATCTCCTGGGCCAAAAGGATGTTATCACTGATGACTCGATCCTTGATGAATCCACTCTGGTTTGGAGAGACTAGGGAAGGGAGGAGGGGAACTAAACGACCATTAAGGATCTTGAAGATGATCTTGTTAGTCACATTACAAAGGCTGATGGGTCTATAGTCGGACCAGGAACTCGGACTAGGTCTCTTAGGTATCAATACAATAGAGGTCGCTGTGAAGGACTTCGGCATCTGGTGGCCCAAGAAGAAATCCACCACAGCTTCCTCAACGTCAGTCTCCACAATCTCCCAGTAGGCCTGAAAGAAGAGAGACGAGAAGCCATCCGGGCCAGAGACACTGTTAGGATCAATCCCAAAAATAGCCTCCCTGATCTCCTCCCTACTTGGGAGGTCGCAGAGGTCAACAGGGTAGACCGACTGCGGGATGGTGGGGAAAACGGAAGCGTCGGGGGGGTGTAAGCCAGTCGCGATCTGAGGTGAAGAGGGACTGGAAGTGTGTCACAGCCGACTCCCGTATCTCAGACTCCTGAGTCAAGGAAGACCTGTTATCCTCAATACAATGGATATACGACTTAACCCGCTTTTGCCTCACAAACCCCTGAAAGTATTTGGTATTACGTTCCCCCTCTGCAACCCAGCGAACCGCAGCCTTCTGCTTCCAGAAATCCTCCTCCATAAGGAGGCGGAGCTAGTACTCAGCATGGCAGCGACACATCTTCTCCGGTGTCGAATCCAAATCATAAGCTCGCTCAGCAACTGCATACGCATTCTGAGCTGCAGCAAGGCGCTGAGAAATGTCTCCAAATACCATCCAATTCCACTGCTTCAAACTGCACCTCATTCGCCTCCAGGTTTCGCATCCCAAAAAGCCCCGTCGGATAGTGCCAACAAGCCCTAACCGTGTCATGGAACGTGTGGTGGCTGGTCCACATGTTCTGGAACCTAAAGGAGGAGCGACATGGGGTGCTAGAAAACCGGCTCTGAATAAGAAGGGGAGCGTGGTCAGATTTAATTCGAGGGAGGTGTGTGACGGTCGTGACCGCAAACACCCTCGTCCATGCCTCAGAGATCAAAGCACGGTCAAGCCTCTCCTTAACTCCGGCCCTCTCCTACGTGAATGGCGAGCCTTCGTATCCAGCGTCAATCAACTCGCAATCTGCCACAGCCTGGGAGAAATCTAAGATCTCCGCAGAGCGGTCCGACTGGCCACCAATGCACTCATCAGGATGAAGAAAGATGTTGAAATCACCGCTAACCATCCATGGTGATCCCTCCATACTCTCAGCATCTCACGCATGGTGTCCCACAGGTCATATCGACCAACCCTCGCATAGCTGGCATAAACCAAAGTGTGAAAGATTGGTTCCGGGAGGTGAGCAGCAGAGAGTTCAACATGCAGGACCTGTTCCGTGTCACGGATAATCCGACATGTAAAGTCTCGCGAATAAAAGAACTAGATCTTGTTAGATATGTTTCCCACGCCGGAGTGGAAACCAAGGTGTCGAGAATATAAGTCAAACGAGGGGTTATGGGTCATAGGCTCTAGGAAAGCAGCAAAGTCTATAATATGGTCACGAACTAGGGATCGAACGTGAGCATGAGTGGCTCTATTAGCCAGGCCACGGGCATTCCAGGTTAGGGATGTCACTGACATATCAAATGTGAAGGGGGCCACTTAACTGGTTCTGCCCGTGGCTAGGCTGTGTCTGTCTATCTGAGAAGAGTAAGGGTCGGTTGGCCGAGCGTCGCGCGGCCCTAGATCTGGTCTGAGGACGGTGGTGGGCAGGACTCTCAGAAAGAATATCCTCCAGAGATCTGGTCCGAAGATGATCTGGGCTCTCCGACTGGAGGTCCTCCAGTGGGGGCAAGTGGGGGCCTCCTGGGCCTGCAACGATCAGATCCCGGTCATGAGTAGGTGTGTGTTCCGACTCCTGGGGGGGAGGAGAGGGGATGTCATAGGGTCGGGTCAAAAGGGCTATAACTGTAGACGGAGAGGAGGGTCTAGTTATGAGCACCACCAAATGCTCACTCACAGGAGGGGGTGTAGGGGAATTCTCCGATCCAACTACGGAAGTGGAGGCAGGAGGGGACCTCAGCTCATGAGGTTCCTCCATAGAGATAGAGGGGTCAATAGGCTTCACAGTGGTATGGGAGCTAGAGGCGATGAGAGGGGAATGAAGGCTATTAACTAAGGAGACCAACGGTTCTGTCTCGCCATCCAAGAGGTCATCATCATCAAGGAGAGAGCTAGTCGAGTGTACTAGGTGGCTGGAGATGGAAGCAGGCTCATCCTCCGTCTCTGAAGCGAGGACTGAGAAGAAGGAGTGAATGCCCACGGGTGTCGTATGGAGGGACTGTCGAGGGAACAACCCCGTAGCTTCTGACTTTGGCTTGTCCAAGGTAACTCCCTTGGGGTGGTTAGGCTGGATAATAGCCTTACCCTTGTCCCTCTGTCCCTTCGGGAACTCAGGCGCTCGGACAAGGCCTTACCCTTCCCCTTAGGGTCCCTCAGAATAGCCGAGGTCCCCGATCTAGCCATTCGGTGGCGTGGAGGAAGTGACGGACGGGGCTTGCTGCCCTTGGTGTAGCAATCAGTCGGTGTGTGACCAACATGGTCACAGAGGGTACAATATGGAGGAACTCTCTCATAGATCACCTTCTGAGTGGTGGTCTTTCCTCCATAGGAGAGCTCAATCTCATCAATGAGCTTACCACACAGGTCTATCTCAACGCACACCCGTGCGACAGAGAACTTTGACCTGTTGGCTGTGGCGTCATCAACATCAACCGGATTGCCAATGCATGTGGCAATCGAGATAAGGGTAGTTGGATCAAAAAAGTGCGCAGGGAGGCCTGGTAGGCAGCACCAGACTGGGACAATGGGAGACTCTGACGAGGGGGAGAAATTCGGGGTGTATTTGAACACCCGAGCCGTGCACCCACAAATGGATATAGACGATTTAATCCACACTGAGTTATAGTCCTCTATCAAATCAAAAAACACAATGTAATGATTGAAGTTTAAATACCTAGGAGCAAGTCTACCCTTAAAACCTAATTTTTCTAATCCAACAGATAAATCTCGGAGGGTGGGGACGGAGAAGAAAAACTTAAAACTAAGAGCATTCACAAACGGCTCAACTAAGGAAGAAATATCATGGTCACGGAAACTAACCGTAAACCGTCCCTCCTCGGAGCGCGTAATGGTTCCCCGTTGCTTGTCTCGAAATGACTGAAGCGATCGTCTCTGGTATCCCGACTTTCTGGGTGGATTATCGGTAATCGCATCCCGGAAGGATCAGGTGGTGTCGGAATCAAGGTCGGTGTCGTCGTCGTAGTGGTCGGCTTGGAGGAGCTCAAATGGGTGCCCAACGGGGGCTGTCCGGGCTTAGCAGGTGGGCCTGAAGGGCCGGCTGTTGGTAAGATGGGGCCCGACAAAGAGGTGGGTCCGTGTCCTAGCAAATTGGGCACTAAATAACCGGTGACATGGCGGTGGCCTGTTCTGGCGCCGGCCCTGAGGTCGCCGGCCGGTGGTAGTACAGGTGCCGGCGGAGAGGATGTGTTGAAGGTCGAGTGAGGTGCTGAAGTGTTTGTATGGTTTAAAAAAGTTGAATGAGATGTTGTTTGGTATGTGGGTTGTGGGGAGATATAAGTGTGGGTCGGCCTAAAATGTTGAGAAGAGAGAGTGGGGGCTGATTTGGGTCTTGAGAGCTGCGGCCCAAATGAATTTCCATTACCCCTAGCTCGTTGATTGGGTAGCTGAGGATTAGGATTAGCTGATACGCCGCTAGCAGTATTCAATTGGATCTGAGCAGGTTCAAACCGATTTCCCGTCGGCGCCGACAACAACAACAAAGAGCCAAAATGAACCGACTGATGGGGCTGACCTGTAAAAACCGCAAGATGGTCAGACTTTGATCAATTGCCATGGACGACGGGAGGAGCGGACGTCTTGTCGACGGTTGAAACTGGTAAATCTGGTGAGGGGTTGACGTCGGCGATCTTTGGGAGCACGATTGACGGCGACGCATCCCTTTCTACCAGGTGGAGGGAGCCTATGTTGGCTTTCAAAAAAGTCAGAAGGGCAGACTGAATTTCCGGCTGTGAGGGAGCCGAGGCTAGATCCAGCGGGGAGGAGGTGGTGGTCAGGGCCGGCTCCTTGGGGAAGCAGCCTAGGCCCATGCCTAGGGCCTCCCCTTATATTTGGGACCCCATTTTTTTTTAATACTATGTATTTGTGATGAGTTTGGCCCATTATACAAATGAAGGGGCTAATTAATGAATAGGTTAATGACAAAATATATACCTTTTGTGAAAATTTGAGGCCCTAAATATTTCATTTGTTTTCTTATGATGTTCGGTTAGAACAATTGTGTGAGAATAAACATTTTTTGCAGTTATATGATTTTTATTATTTTCTCCTTGTTGTTCTAATGACTGATTAATGTAAATTATTAAAGATCTTTGTAAACCATATGTAATTTATCAATTCCAAAGTCTAGAAAAACAAAAAAAAAAAAAATTCAATTATTTATTTATTTATTTAATAGTCTTTTTTAACTAGGTTTTTTTCTTTTATGATTCTATCTGCAAATAGCCTAATTACCACGCAAGTTCAAATCGAGAAATTCGAAAATAAAAAACTTGTCTAGGACCTCCAAATTTCTGGAGACGGCCCTGGTGGTGGTAGAGGAGATGTTGCTGCCGGAGAAGGCGAGATCTGCATTGGAGGAGACATAGGAATGGGACAGTGAAGGTATAGAGCAGCAGCTTGCCGGAACAAGCCACCGGCGACAGCGGCCGACGAGGGTGGTTAGGTGAAGGAGATGACCGGAGAGGAAAGGGGGTGAAGAAGGATAATTATAGAGAATTTGAATTTTAGAGAGAGAGACAACTTAGAGAGAGGAGAGAGCATTTTTTCGGTTCCCGAAGATCGCCGGCGTCAAGGCTTAGATAAATACGCATAACTACCATCATATATCCGCTAGATTATTATAAATATGGGCAAAAACTCTGGGAGCAGATATAATACTACAATTTTTTCGGTTCAACAATAAATAGAAACAACTCAAAGGTAGCATCTGAAATAAGATACAACTACAATTCCATCCATTTTCCTCAACATACTGATACTACTTCCAGTCGACAAGCCTCATGAAACAGACAGCCCCTAATCTATTTCAGCGACATGAGAAAAACTTTTGATTGCCAAAAAATAGCTGAGTCTTCTACTGAATAGTAATAAATCCAACCTAAGCGACTGAAAGTTCACCACAGTCACTAACAACCACTCTCTTCCTCGGACGATCACCTCTGTCTGTTTCTTGAGATTCAATCAGCCTTACAACATCCATGCCTTCCAAGACTTGTCCAAACACAACATGTCTCCGGTCTAGCCATGGTGTCTGCAATTTTTTCAAACACAAGAAATTGATAAGAACACAACTAAAGCAATATATCTTTAGACATTCTTCTGCTCAAAAAAATAATTACTCACTTCCCACCTTCCTTTTTAGTGGCAAGATGATCAATTTAGTATCCATATCATGATTAATTCAGATGAATGCCTAATGTGTTCAAAATATCAGCACAACACATAAAATTTTACAAGAGATATGTCACTCACAATGTGAACTTGAAGGGAAATAAAAAAAGAAAGAGAAAAGGACTCGGGTAGTACAGGAGATTACAAGTTGTCTCACATGGCTCAATAGCGAAAATATCAAATGCGATCTTCATAAACCTCATAACCATCAGCCTGACAGTGTACATTAACTTGGAGAAAGTGGAGGAATTGTTGGTCTTAGGGCGCTATTGGATATAGAATATAACTAGTTTTGACCGGTGGAATAATTTTTTACACCTTTTAACTCAAAATCCAACTCAACTTTAATCTAACACTCTTACCTTTTATCAATATAATTAAATAATATCACCCAATCATTCTCACACTGTCACACATCAATTCAACATTAATTCACTAATTATTCATCACATATTTTTTACTACCTATCATTTCCAATAATATCTCTCTTAATTTAAATCACATCATCTTTAATCATTACATCCCGACGTGCAATATATTTTATATTTAAATAAATTAACCAAAGTGGATGTGAATGGAGAGAATTTTAGTTGAATGATTATGTGGACGTCATGTGGAAGAAAGTGTGTGATTGATGTTTAAATGAATGAATAGGGATGCGGATGCCCTAATGCATTCACAATTATTGTATTAATTTTATAATAATTTTTAATTTTTTTTATTATAACTAATGTAAATCTCATGTAAAAACATTAAAATTATTTGTACATTTCTTTCCAATAATTTTTTTCCAATAATTTTTTTTTCTTAAAAAAATATATACGTCTGCCATGGCATGAGTATCTTCACAACCACATGACCCACCTAGGCGCCACCTAATCGTTAAAGCGCCTCGAACGACCACCTAGGCAGCCATTGGCCAATTTTTACTACAGAGATTAATTCACAAGAACGCCTGATGGGTCTACTCTCAGATCTGAAGTAAACCGGTGGTTGTGAGCTCAGATCTGCTTGAACCGCCTCAAAACCGTTGCTAGACCGCAAGAATACCTGCAAAAACTCAACGCTGGAGGTGTTTCCGGCGCAGAGCCTCCGACGCTCAAGTCAGTATGTGAGTGATGAAGAGAGGCTGCGCAGCAGCTATGGGGGAGAGTGGGAATGAATGAGAGTTGGGGTTTTAGGGTTACCTCACCTCCTTTATATAGGAGTGAATATTTACCTGAAGTACCCAGAATGCCCAAATCGGTGGACCTAGAAGGTCGAAAATGCCCATGTCGATTCGTCTCCCCTTGTTGCTGAGTCATCAACGGATTCCTTCTTATTCTTCATAGTATGTGGAACTTCAAGTATGTTGCAAGTGTGATGAGTCGACATCACATCTTTGTTATTCGAGGTATGCGAGGTCGACTTCGAGATCTAGGAAGTCGACTCGTGGATATGTGCAGATTCGGAGGCTACGCTAGGTTTGACCATGTAGTGAAGTCGTCTTCAGAGGGTCGTCATCGTCTAAGTCGACTAGTGGAAGTCGACCTAGATTGTCTGAATGCTTGGGAGTTATGCTCTTGATGTTCTTCTTCCATTGATGTCGGCTAGTAAAAGTCGATAGAGGAAAGTCGACTTGGTAGAGTCGACTAGACCGACTTCTGCCTCTCCTCGATTGCTCTTGATAGGGTCGACTCTGGGCAAGTCGATTGGTCATGCCGGCGGAGTCACGTAGACGGAGTCATGTCGACGTGCGAGTCGTTCGAGTGGCTCGCCAGTTGAGTAAGAAGCTTCTAGACCGGGTTATCCTTATGTGGCTATATCATCTAGTCCCCCCCGAAAATTACTCTAAGCAGTCGACTGCTTAAGAGTAAATTTGGTGATGCGTAGTTTCGCTGTCTCCCTGCGATACTTGCTCGTCTTCGTCCTCTTTGATAACTCGTCTCGTCAATCCATCGGGGCGCCTCTCAACCTCATTATTGCTTTTTCGGATAAGTCTGACACTCTGACAGACCCCTTTTGAAATTTCAAATTTCAAATTTCAAAAAAACCCTAAAGTGACGCGCGTCATCCCCATCGCCGACTCCTCGAATTCTACGCTTCATCTGGGTCGTTGATTCCGCTATTGATCTAACGATCCGCCTCTATTATTCTTTGAGTATAAATGCATTGCGCGTCTACCTTGGGTGGCTTTTCACGCTTCCAACTTTTCGAGCTCTGAACTGCTTCTAACTCTCCGGTGCTTTTTGTGCTATTTGCTCTCCGGCGTTTCTTTCTCCGGCAACTTCAGGCTTATTCGCAGTTCAAAACAACCACGCCATCATGTGTGAGTTCTTTATCTCCTTTACTTTTCGCGTTTTTGTTGGTTTTTTCCTTTTTCAACTTTTTCTGGGTTCTGGGAATTTTCGTATGTTCTTCGTGTTCTTCACGGATTTCTCATGAGTTTTGCGTTGGATCCTTTTACGCGCATATTCTATTAGGACTTAATGTTTTTCGCCAGCCGTCGGCTGCCGATGAGCAGTCGACTGTCACCTGTCGCTGAGTTGGCTATTGTCGACTTAGTGGCCTTCTTTCTTCAGTTTTCTTTTTTCGAGTCGACTAAGGTCGACTTACTAGTTTATTTAGGTCGAGATACCGATAGCGATTGCCCCTTCTTTTTCCTCTCTTCTTTTGTCGATTATTGCGAGTCGCCCTGATTCGATCTTATAGGCCCTTACTCGTGATTTTACTAACTTCGACCTTCTCCTCCTTTTTCTTTCTTTAGCTTCCGACTCGTCTCCTCTCTCTGGCTCCCTCGGTCAACAGATCAATGATTATACTTGTCAAGCCGACGAGGGTTCTATCTCTGATTGTGTCGAGATAACCGGCTATAGGATGGTTTCACTGCCTTCCCATTCTCCTCCTCCTCTCGCCACTGCTTCTTCTGCCGACTGCGAGCTGCACGACCAAGCGCTCTTGGAGGGCGGCTTAGTCGACATCGTGAAAAGCCCTCCTCGAGAAAATCTTCCTCGTCTCGATATCATTCCTCGAGGTATTCCCCTTAGGTTCTTAGATATCCCTGTATATAGAACGAGCCCTGTATCTGTACCAATAATTGCTCCTCTTCTCGACTCTCAAAATGTTGTATCGATAGCTTGTCCCTTGGCTAGGTTGGCTGTTCTAAATCCGTTTTGTTATGCCTCTGCAGCCGAAGTCGAGGGCTTCAGAAAGTTCAGTGGGCTTCCCTCAGATTGGGAGTTAGTCGCCCCTGGTCCTAACGACGAGTTTGCTCATCCTCCCCCCGGCTGTCATACGTTCTTTGTAGACCAAATCATCTTTGGCCTTCGCTTTCCTATTCAAGACGAGCTCATACTAATAAGCAACCTGTACAATATACCAATAAATCAATTTTCTCCTAACGCCATTCGCATTATGATAGCCTTCATAGTCGTTTCCCGAATAACACTCAATTTCTTTTCTCCCGACTTTTTCTTTTATTGTTATGGTTATCGGCTTTCCAAGGGCGCCCACTGTTTGGGTCGTCGTGCCGGTGTTACCTTTCTCGACGATATCTCGTCGAACGTTACCGAGTGGAAGTCGAAGTTTGTTTTCATTCGACCCGCTTCGGGCATGTACCCTTATGTAAATACTTGGATTACTTCAAAGGTGAAGCAGAATAAACGGCCTCACTCCGACGAGTTTGCCCAGCTGCTATCCGAGCTAAATAAGCACACTTACAGTGCTCGTCAGTTAATCAAGGACCGTGACTTAGTCAATCACGCGCGAATCGTCATTTACGAGGATCTCCCTCGTCTTGATGATCCTCGTAAGCTTTTTACCTATTCTCTTGTTGGGTAGACTTCACGTTTTAATTACTCATATTGTATTTGCTAATTGTTTTGTCCGACAGCTAACTTCCTCTTGTTGTATTTCAGTTAAGGCGCTCAAACGCTTCGAGCTGAAGAAACAACCGGCCGAGAAGCCGGTGGGTGGCTCTGTTCCACCTCCTTCCCGTCCCGCTGGTGCGGCAGTCGAGTCGACTGCTGCGAAGAAGTCTAGGGTCGAGAACCCTGGTGCCGCCCAAAACAAACCCTCTGGCTCCAGCTCCCGCAAGAGGGCTCAAGACGACCGGGCCGTCGTCCTGATCCCGGACGACCTGAAACGTCGCAAGGTCGACAAAGGGAAAGGGAAGGCGGTCGAGAAGCCCGCCAAAGCCCCGGTCACCATTCAAGACGTGACGGTCAAAATGCCGTCTCGCCTCTGGAACCACCCCGAGCCTTATCAGGTGGCCCAGTACCTCAACTCCACTATCCCCGAAGTCAACAAGGAGCGCGTCGAGGGGAACCTCTACGAGCGTTCAAATTATGCAGTCTTGTGCCTTTCTCGGGTATTCTTCTTATCTTCTAATCGACTTTGCTTTTGTATGTTTCTTTTAAACTTTGTCCATCTAATCTCATTTTTTCTTTATGCTCTTTCGTAGTTCCTGGCCGCGGCGCTCCCATGCTTCGAGGAGACAAGCAAGGCTCCTCTCGCCTCCACCAAGTCCCTTGAGGACCAATGTGAAGCTCAGCGCCAGGAAATCGAGGCGCTAAAAGAAGACTTAGAGGCCTCGAAGGCCCTGGTCGACAAGTTGAAGGCCGATAAGGCCGTTTTTCGGCACCTAAACGACAAGCTCAAGGCCGACCTCGACAAGGCGCGTGACGAGGTTATGGTCGAGAGGGAGAACGGCATCGAGGAGGGGCGCAGGACTTTTCTAAAGTCCCCGATGGGCGCCATCTTCCTCGAGACCTATCGCCAAGAGGTCGTGAAGGCCTTCTGCAACTCCCCTGCCTTCCTCGATAAGCTTTGCCCTGCCGTCGTCCAGTATTTTGACTTTGCTTTTGACGCGTGGGTGGCGGT